CACTAGAAGACAAACTATTTATAGGTCAAACAAAATAAGCTCTAGTCAAAGTCAACAACACTTACAAAGTCAAACAACTCTAAAAATACAATTATAACTTTCAAGACGAATACAATTTAACACTAAAATTCAATCCCAACAGTTATGAATGTTATGCTAGAGAAGCATGGAGCACCAAAAGATGATATTGATGATTGCTTGAAGAAGCTAGAGGGACTTGGATGAGGTGTACCATTGCATGACGTAACACTTTGTTTTAGYTGAAAGCGCCGACTATAAAAAAATGTGGATGGGTTTAGAACCGGTGAATTGTGAGAATTGGATTAGACTTACGGTATGCAAGTATGGACTACTTTAGTTGGTAGGTTTGATTACACTTTGTCTTTGGGAGGATATGTGTTTCGATTAAACTTCGTGTTATTGATTCGAACATATCTTTTGGATTTATGTTTATTTTTGGATTGGAACATGTTTTGGATTTATGTTTATTTTTGGATTGGAACATGTTTTGGATTTCTGTTTATTTTTGGATTGGAACATGTTCTTTAATGATCATTTAAAATGGTATGCTTATGTGGTTTTCTTGTTTGTTATATGTGTTTCTCATGTGTTTGTAGTATATGTTATTTTCAAGGTAATACATGGATTTTAGGAAGAACTTTTGCTRGTTATGATCATCTATTGGTATTGAAAATACAAACTATCATCAAGAATAGAACGAATAAGARATAACACTTCTGCCTTAACCGGACATGCATATACACTAGAATTGTTTGGCRGATCGAATACACAATGCATTGAATTGATGCGGCTTTCTTGGGATGCATATATACTATTATGCAACCATTTTAAACAAAAAAAATTGGTTGCAAGATAGTAGGAATGTTACCGTTGAGGGGAAGATGGATATATTTTTTACAATTATTGGCCATAACGAACGCTTTAGAATGGTTAAACGRAGATTTCAGTACTCTACGGAGACTATTCATAGAAACTTCCGCGAAGTGTTACGAGCAATGATGAAATTTGCAAAAGAAGTTATACGGCCGACATTCTCTAAGGAAACACAAAACACATCAAAACGTCAAARGAACCTTAGGGGAATATTTCCAGTAAGTTTTCTATTATATTCTRTAAAACCAACAAGCCTGTTATATTTTCTATTAATTTTTATTTCTATTTAAAGGTAGCAATAGGTGCATTAGATGGAACTCTCATGCATGCAATTGTGCTTGTTGATCAGCAAGCTCGTTATAGAGGTAGAGGAAGAGATGAATGTTACCAAAATGTAATAGGTATTCGTGATTTTAATATGCTTTTCACGTATGTTTGGGCTGGATGAGAGGGTATAGCACRTGATGCTAGAGTGTTGAGATAAGTTGTTTTTAGTYCAACCTCTAGCTTTCCATTTCCTCCACGAGGTATGTACAATTTTTWACACAATTTTAAATGTTTACCATTTCTTATACATTTTATATAATGGTGTTAAGCTGAAATTTCGATTATAGATAAATATTACCTCTGTGATGCTGCKTATGCCAATACTCGTGGTTTTATGACTCCATATTGCAATACGATGTATTGGCTTGCTGATTTCTGACGACAACGTGCCTTAACAAAAGAAGCAAGGTTCAACCATGCTCATGCGCAACTCAGAAACGTTATCGAGCGTGCATATGGTGTCTTGAAGGCAAGATATCCAATTTTAAAGCAAATGGCTCCCTATCCGTTTCGCATACAAAGAAACGTTGTGATTGCTTATTTTGAGGTTCATAATTTTATACGAAGATGGAATATCCACGATCAGTTATTCATGGATGACGACAATGAACCCATGTTTATTGACGAGGGACAAGAAGAAATCGATGGAGGCGATGAAGATGACATGGATGGAAGGCCTTTTGGTACTCAAAACAATCAATATATGGCTAATTTACGTGACCAGATTGCGAATCAGTTAATGTAAAATCCGTCAAATTAAGAATTGTTCAAAAACTATTATGTTGGAATTTGATTGTTATGTTTTTGTTTATTCTTGAATTTGAAAAATTACGTTTGTTTGGACTAATATGAAATCTTGTTTTGAACTAATAATGTTATGTTTGTTTGGATTAATATGAAATATGTAGTTATATTTGCAAAATAATTGTTTTATTCAGATATCTGCCAAACAACTATATTTCATTCAGTACTACATCATACAGAGGGTTAAAATGGTAATTTATTGTCATTCAGAGAATAGTTACCAAACAACATTATTTCATTCAACACTTAACCATTCTGGCCCTTCTTAAATGGTATGAACAAATAGATAACCATCATCTAACTCTGCTACAGCCCACAACCACTCCCCGTTGCTCCCATCCTTTTTTACTTGTCTTGCAACTTGCATGGTCCATTGTAGACATTCTTATTCCATGACCATAAAAATGGAGACAAAATCGTAAAATGCAATTCACCGGTTTTATTTCATTTTGGTTAACAGTGTTTTTAGAAATGCAATATTTTTTGGAAGAAAAAGTTGATTTGTTCATAATGATCAAATTATATATGGCCTTGTTTCCACTTTTCCAGTCATTCTAGATACAATTTTAAAATAATGGATTTTTCGTTATTTAAATCGAGTATCTCCGTCACTTGTAGTGATTTATCATTCAATGAATGATTGAAAAATTATCTACCTTACCGACAATCTAACCGGTCACACTTGGAATCCACCCCTAAAAACACCAATATGATAAGATATTTTTTTACTCACTCCATAGATAATGTTAGCAGGGAGCCTTCAATTGTATTTATATAAAATCGTTTCGTCTTTTTACTAACTGAGCTATATACTGAAGATAAAAAAAACATTTTGTTTTTCTAATTTTTTTTTTCATATCTACCTATTTATTTACTACAAACTTTTTTGAGATTAGTTTGATTCCCAATATCTTTTCAACTTTATCTTGTTAAAAAAAATTATAACTAGTTGTATGTTGATTAAAAATATTAATTGTTATATAAACGTTAATATAATATTATAAGAAAGAGAAAATGTATTAATTTAAAAGTGGTATGAATGGGTTGAATCTTGAGTCCAAGTATGACATCGCTGTATCCACCCCATTTTGTTGAACCGTTGACTCTCTTTGGATCTCATCCACTCATTGGTTTTTAAAGTATCTTCAGCTTATTTGAAAATAAAAAAATAAAATATCAAAAAACCTTTGATTTAGTGGTATCGTAGTTTTTGGTATCTTTAAGATCAAAATTTTAAACCTCATCAAAAATAAAGAAGATGTATGAGTTTATTTATTACATTTGTCGTATATAAATATTATATACTTTAAAAAAAATAAGATTTTGAATTAATATTTTGTTTCTAATAGTTTTTTTTTAAAATTATCTTTAAAATGAAGAAAACACGGGTGAGAAAAGTTTTATTCTCTAAATATAAACACCCTAAAAATAATTATCAAGTGAGATCACTAATAAGACACTTTAAAAATTAATATTTAAAGACAACAATAATATTTTAATAGATAAATGAAATATTTTAATATCATAATCAATATTGGATTCTTTAAAATAAAATCTATTGGAGATGAATGTAATTTATTTTTTGGAATTTTTGACTTTTGATTTTTCATTTTAGAGAAATTATGGGGAATCTGTTAGAGATGTTTTAATAATGTATTCTTATGATTAAAAAAAGAGTAAACTACACTTTTGGTTCCAATGGTTTACACCAATCTTTAAAAATGGTCTCAAGACTTTCATAACTACAATTATCGTCCCTATTATTTATATTTTGTTTTGAAAATCGTTCCTGGTCACTAACTTCGTTATGCTGGTCCGTTAAGTCAGGGCTATTTGTGTCTTTTTAGTTGTTTTTGTCTTATCTAAAGAACCAAAATTGTAGTTTAATTACCTTCGAAGAACGATTTAAACAATAGAGACCAAAATTATAATTTATTCTAAGAAAAGGATCTACGTCTTTTTTATGTGGTAGAAAGGTCTCAAAATCTAAAAGTTTATGATTACAAAAACTTTATAAAAGTATAATTATTAAACTTGTGTTCAGTTATAAAATAATTAAGAGCAGATGGTAAAGTATTACATACTTGAAAATCCGACACTTATTTTAACATAAATTTAAATAAAAGTATTAACATTTAATTTGAGAAAAAAAAATCACTATATATGAAGACTGAAGAGTATGAAGAAAAGGAAGACAAAAAAATTCACAAAGAAGCTGAAAAGATAAGAAAAAATATTATTTTTATAAAGGTGACAGTTTTTTAATTAAATAAAAATTCATAATTACAGTAAATTTTGAAGTTATAATAATTGACTACTGATATTGGGGAAGATACAAGTTAAATTAAACATAAATTTATTGAAGTAGTTATTTTTCGATATTGGTTTTATTTTTTAGACATTTTCTCCAAATTTACGAGAATAACCATGGATTCATAAAACCCACGTTCGTAATTGCAGATCCAGCTACAAAAATACATTTTTCATTTTTATACGCAAAAAACTTACATTTTTCAACCAGGTCCGTAAAAAAAATTACAAACCTAGAACTATTTTGGTAAACCTTTTAAAGAAGTGGCTAAAAGGTGAAACAAACCGGTAAAAACGTCTATTTTAATTAATTTCTTTAAATTAAAAACAATTTAAAAAATATCTTTAAATGTCGTTGTCGGGGTGGAACGAGGTGTAGTGAGTTTACATAACAAAGCAAGATGATTTGACCTTTCTTTTTTGTTTTTAGTCTTTGTTTTCTATGGTTAGAACTTGAGGATGTCAATATCTCTCTAGGAATCTAATGGCCGAATGCGATTTGCTATTATTGTGGTTTTATTAGCTTGTGATGACAATTATTTTAATAYCAAATGTTGAAATTTTTTGTTTGTTATTTTCTTATAATGTAGTCTTTGATGTGGTGATGCAGGAACGACATAAGCATGACCATTAAGCTTGTGGTCAGCTGCAATGATATTAAAMMWAATACGGTGAGAGAGTGAGTTCAATTTCTATAACATAAATCTAACAAAATCTCCTTATTCCCAATATTGTCAACTCCCACTCTGGATGAGGTGAGAATATATATATTTGTTAAGTTACCATGTTGATTGATGAGTCTGTCTTCATTTTYGGTATACCTTTTTAGATCTTCCTTTCTTATGTGCAGTGTATATGGATTTGTTAGTTTACTCTCCCTCTTTCTTATGTGCAGTCTCTCTCAAGTCTCATCTGAAGATCATTTTTCTTATAGTGTATAATTCCAATTTATACCTGAATCGTCTCTGTAGATTGAGAGTGAGGACGCGATCTATCGATCATGGGGAATCAAGAAGAAGAAACGACGATAGGACTCCGAAGAAGAGGTTGTTCATACCAAAAAGGAGACTTTCTGCCGGAGGAATCCTTTAAGACATGGGATAACTACACAACCGCATTGATGGAGACTCCCCACCGGTTGATGGACCGGTTGTTGACGCGTTCAGGCGACCAGGCGGAGCTCGATGCTAAGGCGCGAAGTCAGACGCAGATGAAGAAGACACTGACGTGGTGGGATCTGATCTGGTTTGGGATGGGCGCTGTAGTTGGAGCAGGAATCTTCGTGCTCACCGGACTTGAAGCTCGAGAGGATGCTGGTCCTGCAGTTGTGTTATCCTACGTCGTTTCCGGCGCCTCCGCTCTCATGTCTGTGTTTTGCTACACCGAGTTTGCCGTCGAGATACCTGTTGCAGGTAATTCTAAAACATTTMTACTCTCTAATTCCTTAGCAACCAATTGTTAAACAAAAAATCGTCATGGTTCGAATTGATTGATTGRCAATTTCTTACCATAAACCAAAGATTTTTACCTAAAATTTACTGATGAATATACTTTCTGAACTACTAAGCATCCATTAACAACCACAAATTTACTCTAAACAACGATTTTTCTATATGTTTATCAAAAAAAATACACCATAGTTGGAAACATGAATTACACATTTCTAAACACTTGATTTACTAATCAGTTAAAAATTATCATAGCGAGTAGTCCAAGAAGACATTATGGCTGATCTTTAATCAATCTTTG